TGCTGAGGGAAAGCGAGAACAGAAGCACACCTGGCGGCCAGGACATGGTGAGAGAAGAGGCGAGAAAGGCAAAGGGGCCCCGTTTGAGGAACTGAAGGCAGTGGAAAGCCCTGGAGGGATTTTGAGAAGAGAAAGGAGTGTTTATTTGAATGACTGGTGACTGTGAAGGAGGGTCAGCCTGGTGTCCCGTGGAAGAGTCTGAGGGTGTGCAGAGTGGGGGACGGGTGGGAAGTGGGGTGGAGGCCCGGGCCCTGAAGAGCAGGCCCAGTTGGCCCCCAGGGCCTGGAGTCTCAGCCAGGTGACCGAGTAGGGAACCCAGGAGCCCCAGTTCCTCCTGACTCATCACGCGATGGGAGGCGGAGCCAGAGCCGCAGGCCTAGTGGGCCGCACGCATGAGAAGACTCGGGATGTGAAGGGCAGCAGGGGGAGAACCTTGGGGAACAGAGGAAGAGGTGGTTGTGTCTTGGGGGAGAGCAGTTTTCTCAAGATCACTAGAGAATCTTTTCAGCTGACATCTCGCCCACAGCTGTCCACGCTCTCAGCCACTAAATTAATGGGTCACAAAGCTCTGTCCCCACAAAGGACCTTCCGATCCAGCTGTCAGGAAGGCAGAAACCTGACAAAAGGCAGTTGATGCCCCTTGAGACTGTAGGCTAAGCCTTGAGACAGGAAGGCTTCATGGAGATGGAGACACTTAATATGGGCCTTGAAGAATGGCTTCCCTGAGAGAACGATGTTGTCGGTGGAAAGGGATGGGCTTCAGGGAACACCGAGCTGGTGTTCTGAGCAGTGATGACACCCACTGGAGGGGGGTGATTAGGTGGGTGGACCCAGCCTATGTGGGTCTGGAACGTCAAAGTTATTGTCAGAATACAATTGCAAGATACGGAACTCAACACAGCCATCTTAATTAAATGGAATTTACTGGTTCCCATAACCGAAAAGGTGACTTGGCTAGATCTTGGGACTCAAACAATGACATGAAGGCGTGATTTCTCTCCGTCTCTCGGCTCTGCTCCTTGGTCAGGCAGTCTCTCTCCAAAGGTGGTGAAGATGGCCCCCCGCAGCCCCAGGCTGACACTAACTTCTTGTTTAAGGACCAGGATGGGTCTCTTTTGCCCAGCTGAGATCATGTCCCTTCCCCTAAACTGTGGCCAAGGACTTGGAGCTTCATCCTATCACCGGGGATGTGGATGGTTACACATGGGGTCTTGGATTCAGAGATGGCGCCACCAGTGTTGGTTGGGATGTGTGAGCATGAGGGCAAGGCCTACACCAGTCAGAGATCCTTGCTGGCATGAGCCTACGAGATGGAGATGGGATGCCTGTAATCTCCCCCTCAGCCCTCCTCACTGTGACAATGGGACATGTGGCCACCAACCAGCTCTGCTCTCTTACAGAAGCTCCGTGTGTCCTATCTTTCTTGGAACAGGTCTGGACCTTGAAATCAGGCTTGCCTACCTTCAAACAGGCAAACTGGCCCTTGATTACCCTGGCCCTGTCCTCAGGAATTGTGTCTTTTCCTTCTCTCTTACACTTGCCCCTTTCTTCCAGCTCCATTCCCGGGCCCACCCAGCTTCTGACTTTCCCGTCTTTGTTCTTCTGTACTTTGAGCTCAGTGCTTCTCTTGATTAGTGCTTGGCACCCCTGAAGACACTGCCTGCAGGCATCCTGGCTGTTTGGGGGAACCACCCACCTAAACCCAGTCCCACCCGCCCGTCTCCATCTGGAAGTCAGCCCAGTGGGATGGGGAGGGAGCAGGCCCCAGCACAGCGGGGCTGATGCCACGTGCCAGCATTAGGGTACGTTTTTGCATTAATTCCTCAGAACTGCAATTTCTTCTGATCTTGGAGTGATGCCTTCTTCACCACATGTTCAGTAGCTAACATACGTCTCTATGGTGGGTTTCCTTCCCCCAACCTTGGACCTACGTACTTCAGAAAGATGTTGAGAATTTGGAGAGAGTCCAGGTAAGCATTCTACGTGGATGAAAGATGGGGAGAAAAGTAAACAGCTCTAGAGAAAAGGATGGAATAGCAATCTGAAACGTGTGAGGAGATAGTTACCAACAAGGTGTGACCTTTAAAAGGCACTGCTCTCTGGGACTCAGTTTCCTCATCTGTAAATGAGGGGCTGACCTGGATGACTTTAAAGTTCCTGCCATCCCTAATCTCCGACTACCTGAGAGGGGTATCCCACCCTCCAGATCCACTCTGAGGGATCAAGAAGGAATGACTTTGAATTTATTTTAAGCATTTAAAAAAATATATATATTTATTTATTTGGCTGCATCGGGTCTTAGTTGCGCCATGCAGGATCTTTCATTGCAGCACATGGGCTCAGTAGTTGAGGTGCATGGGCTCTCTAGTTGTGGCGCGCGGGCTTAGTTGCCCTGCGGCATGTGGGATCTTAGTTCCCCCGACCAGGGAGCGAACCCACGTGCCCTGTGTTGGAAGGTGGATTCTTAACCACT